TGGCAATCCTGGTAGTCCCCATTTTCCCTGTGCAGTCTAGGTTTCGCTCCCCAGGGCCCAGCCCCATGGGCCGAGCACAGGGGCTGAGGCTCCCACATTTGGGAGACAGTTCAAGGAACTGACGGGAGGTAGTGCTGAGAAAGGAAATGGTAAGAAAAACACCAACTCATTTTCTGGTCTTGTACAAAATAACAGCTCTCGCTGGCCTTTCCTAAAGGTTCCAAAACCCTTTCCCAGGGCTGCTCATACGCCTCTGCCTGTCTCTCCAAGGAGCTGTGCCATTTTTACCTCTCTTAAGTTCTATTTTGATCAGCTGAGATCAACAGAAGCAGTTGAACAGGGAATTTTTGGTGGCTCCTAGTTAGCTTGGTTGGGTTTTTCCCAGACCTTGCCCAAGCAGGGCCCACAGCTTTGAAGGAAACTCCAAGCTCCACTGGCATTTCCCTTCCTCAGCAGTGGGAGGAAACCAGGAGAAGGCTGTAAGGGCCAGGGTACAGGGCAGGAAGAGGAAGGGGAACCCCCCCCCCCGGTCTTCCCTTTGCCCATTAAGATCAGAGATGGACAGTAAGGATGCCTTGCTGGGGTCACAGGACCCTGGCTTATACAGAACCCACAGAGCAGGCGACCTGCCTGGCTGTGAACTTGCAGTAAGCCAAAGCAGGCTAGCTGGAGGAGCCTCAGACTCTAGCCTTTTGGCTTCTTTCTGTTGTAGGTTGTTTTTTTATTGGACTTTTTGCTAATTTCCTCTTCTATCTTACATAATGATTTCTCTCCCTTACATCCTACCCAGATCTCCCTCTCCTCCAGTTCCAAGCACAGTGGGATAGAAGTTGTTCCCCGTCTTGGAGGCATCCTAGATCCCTGAGCAGGATCCCGAGAAGAGGTCCAGGATTGTTCTATCCTTAGTGCTGAGGAAGAGGGGTGGGAGCAGGCATAGAGAACCCAGAAGCAAGAGGGTAGATCGCGGGGATGTCATTTCACAGGCTTTCAGGAAAATGAGTAGAACTGTTAGTACTTACAGTGTATTTACCTACAGTGTTTCAGATATAGTCATAAATGGGAGCTGCTACTGTGGCTTGATCATTTGATCCTGATAAAACCCTGTGAAGTAATGAGATTATCTCCAGTTTATGGATTAGTTCACCAAGGTCTGATAGTTCCTTTTTTAATTTTTGTGTTTTAAAATCATTTATTTATTTATTTGGTACAGGGTCTTGCTATGAAGCTTGGACTCACAGTGATCTTTCTGTCTCAGCCTCCCACCACTGGGATTATAGGTGTGTGCTACCATGCCTGATTTTGGCCAGCATGGTGCTGGGAATCAAACCCAGGTCTCTGCACTCACCAGGCAGGTGTTTAGACCACTGAGCTGTCTCCCCAGCTTTTTTTTGTTTTTGTTTTTTTTGCGGTACTGGGGATTGAACTCAGGACCTTGTGCTTGCCAGGCAAGCGCTTAATCTACTGAGCTATCTCCCTAGCCCCTCAGTACCAAGTTTTGATAGCTCTGAAAAACCCAAAGTTGATATTGGGCCTTTTTTTTTTTTTTTTTTTGGTTCTGGGAATCGAGTTTAGGACCTTGAGATTACCAGACAGGTGCCATGCCACTGAGCTATCCCCACCCTTGATCTCAGGCCTTTTGACTACATTCTGTACCTGTGCTGTCCAAGACAGCTGGTAAGCAAAGGTTTCACCAGTGAGTTAGTAGGAGTTTGGTTCCACTTCTGCTTTTTAGAGTACACAGTCTGGAAACCCTGAAGAAAAATGTCAGGGAAACAAACCTTTGACTGAGCCCAGAGCCATGTCAGATTTGCTCCCTAACTATCCCCAGAACTCTGGAAATTGTTCTTCTTAAGAGCAGAGCAGCTTCCTCCAGACACTGGAGCCCTGCCGAACTTACATGTTATCAGCTGGTGCAGCAGCCTTGGCACCCTTGTCTGGCAGGAAGTGAATTTCCCTGGTCCTCTCACTTGGCTGGTGGCTCTCACTGTAGTCAGTGACCTGCGTCTTGTGAGGGTTTAGTGGTAGGGATTTCCCCTTAACCATTCCCTCCGTCTCATACTTCAGCCCTGAGCAAAGAGAGAAATCTGGGAGCTCTGATATGGATTTTCTTATTTTTTTCACATGCACACAAATTCTGGGAGTCTAAGTGGCTTTTGTAGAAGGAGTTGTGTTCCCATTCTGTGTTCCTATTAGGTTCCCCTCATCCACTAACTAAAGAGTGTACACCAAGCCAGTGACCCTAGGGGTTCATCTTTTCCAAGGATGTAATTTGACCAGCTCTCTGGAATGTTTCTTCCATGCTCTTAGGCTAGTGTTCCCAAAGAGGGTGACTTTGCTTAGTCTTGGAGCCTTGAGAGAAGAAAATATTTCCTCGTAAGTTCACCTGGTGGGAAGATGTGAGGCCACAGCCTGTGACTGTAGTTGGCAGAGGGAGGAAGTTGGTATTGGTATAGACAGACTGTGTCTGTCACAGTAGTATAGCAACAGGCTGTTCCCCCCACCCCCACCCCGGAGCTTTTTCAGGGGAGGCCATAGCAAACTATTTTTGTAGCACAGACTTGGGTGAAATTGTCAAATGACTAGCAACATGCTCAGGATGTTCAGAGCCGTTCCCACACCTGATGACTTTCTACTCAGTTCAGGTTTAGTTGGCTAGGCTCAAGCCCTACCATGGGCCTACTTTTGACCTTTTAGTCTCTGTTAAGACCTCCTAAATTCTTTCTTCATTTTTATTTTGGACAGTTTTTATTGTTATATTCATTTGTGTTTGTAAATAATTTATTTTCAATTTGTAATCTATTAAAAAAATAAAGAAAATTTTTAAAAAATAATAAAAAAAGACCTGCTCCTACCTTACTGTCTACACAGATGTGTTGAAATCAGCTCTTAGCAGTTCACTTCTAGACAAAACATTTCCCGGCTTGTATTAGCCTATCCTGCCCTCAGTACTGCATTGGCTGGGATTACAGGTGTGCATTACAGGTCTCGGTGGCTGGCTCAGTGTGTCTAGGGTGAGGCCAGTGCCACATGTGGTGCTGGGATTGAACCCTGGTCCCTGCACTTGCCTAAGCAGGTGCTTAGTCTGTTGAGCTATCTCGCCAGCCTTCATATGCAGTTGAGGCTGGCCTTGAGCTCATTTTGTAGCCTAGGGTGGTCTCAAGCTCACAGTGATCCTCCTGCCTCAGACCAGCCCTTCTGTCCTGGGGAAGTTGAAACAGATCTGTGGGATAGTGGTTAGAGACCTCAACCCTGATTACTTTCTGAGCCATAATGATCCTGTTTTCATAGATAAGACCAGAGCTAGCCAGGGTCTCAGCCATAGTGTTACCAGCAACTTACTTTCCACTACTGAGAGGAGAAGGCTCTAAGCATAGATATGGTTCCTTAGGAGTAAAATAAACATTTGGCTGGTATAATCATATGTGTTAGATAGGCAGTATGACAGAAATATTCCTTTTGATTCCTTAAAAAAAAGAAGAAGAAGAAGCTTTCTGCTCCCCCAAATCTTTTGCTGCTTCGGGAGTAAAGCAGGGCCTTTGTGATTCTTTGGGAAACTTGGAGCGCAAGGTCATGTCCCAAGATGAGGATACAGGCAGAAACAAACCACATGGTTGTGCTTGCATTGTAGGTAGGTAGTAGGGACACTGGCAGAAGAGACTGGGTCCAAGGAGGTCCTTGGGTAGCCATGGCACTTCAGGTCGGGGATAATATTTGACTGGGAGGGGCTGGTGAGATGGCTCAGTGGTCTAAAGCACTTACTTGGAACAAGCTAAGCTAAGCAAAGCACAGGGACCATGGTTCGATCCCCCAGCACCACATGCCAGCCAGCCCCGCCCCCTGGTGGGCTGAGCTGGCCTCACACAAAATAAATAAATAAATAAATAAATAAAAATATTTGACTGGGAGCAGGCAAGTGTAGTGGTATGATCAAAGTGTCAGATTGCCTTTATTTAAATTATTTTTTTTTTCTCGTTAAACTTTGTTTTAATAGGTCTCAAAATTCTGTGACAGATTTTTGGTTAGTTGTTGTTCAGATTGCCTTTAAAGGCAGAACGTAGAAGAAAAGGCCAAGGGTCTACAGAGGGTGGGAACAGACATGGCTGCTGGGCAGGCAGACAGGAGGGAAGGGTGGGCTCCTACCAGGGCAGGCTGTGCACAGATACGTGCCTTAGGCCTTTGTCACTCACACTTTGTGTATTCATTCAGCAAACAGTACTGAGCAAAATAAAATGCTTCTTGGACTGTCACTCTGTATTTTATGTTAATGTTTGAATGATGGGTCAGTATACTGCTGTCTTAATTGGGAGGGATGTCATAAGTAATTTTTTACTAATACTTAAAGTCCTAAACTTTTGTAAGTATTTTTCTGAAAATAGTGAGCAGTTCTCTTTACACAAATGTTGAATAATGAGCAGTTCTCTTTATACAAATAGGTAAGAGGTAGAACGGTAGCCACCACACAGGCTGAAGATGGCCCAGACTCAGTTGTACAAGTAGGAAACTCACCCATATCAGATCATGGCAGAAAAACAGATTGAAAGTTACTGTTTAAACTGGGAACTTCCAAAGTTTTGACTTCTCTCATGTTAAGTATATTTCACAGCATGATCTATGTGCATATGATGTACATATGCATATATACATAAAATAAAAGCTGTATTAAATGTTTATGCTTTCTACTTGCAATGAATCCTATAGCTCCTATTTAAATTTGTCCATTATCATTGAAAATGAAATTAATTTTGACTCACCAAATTGATTCCATGATCTGTATAGTATGGAAAACACTGCTTGGCCAGACTTGACTAATATGTATAACAGGGAGGCAAGAGGACTGTCTGGCCTTGCTGGGCCTGCCACAGAGCCGGGGCCTGCCACAGAGCCGAGGCCTGCCACAGAGCCGAGGCCTACCACAGAGCCAGGGTGAAATGTGACACCAGTCAGGGATGATTGATATGTGTAGATATATTTCAGCCTGTTAACTTGGGTTCTCTCCTCAGAGCTCCATGAACCTGCCTCCTGACAAAGCCCGGCTCCTGAGGCAATATGACAACGAGAAGAAGTGGGATCTGATTTGTGACCAGGTACTGGATTCAAAGAGTAGGGATGTTGGAGGGACCTCCAGGGACCTTGGCCTGGCTTGCTTGTGCTTTCTGTTCTGTTTCTTTGTAGCAGAGACAGAGCTGGTAGGCCAAGCTCCTGCAAAAGGCTGTCTTCACTTCTTCTGGTGGGCAGTTTGTACAGGGTAGGCTGTGGAGCATGTTGCTGGTTTCACCAGTAGAGTCTCTTTCTTCCATTCCCCAGAGTCAGGGCTGTGCCTGGCAGGTTCTGTCAAAGGATTCTTCCTCTGTCACTCTGCGCTAGACCTGGCAAATAGCAAGATGCTTCTCATTATGTGCAGGCCTCTAGAAATGAGACACCGTGGTCTACTAATCTCCTGTTTCCAAATGTGACAATGTAGTCAAACTACTGCTCCTCTTACATAAATAGTGTTTAGAACGCAAAGAGCAGAGATACCATTATTTTTCTTAGAACTAAGGTCTTTGCTCCTCACTTGGCTCTTTCCCCAGCAACAGATTGAAATGGTTCTGAGGTTTTGAACTCAGACATTCCTGCTGTAAGGCTCAGTTGGCTGCTACTTCTGTACCTCTTGGTATAGAGGGGCCTGGTGCAGAGTGTGGGCAGTATGCTTATCCTATACTTTGCCCTGAAGCTTTGTCATGAACAAATTATTCCTTTCAAGATGAAGAAAATCACAACAGGCAATATTTGAGTGCTGATTTTATATCAAGTACTTTATACATACTGAAATCCCTCATTTAATCCTCACAAAGTCCCTCTAAGGAAGGCACTATGGCATTATATAGATGGAGAACCTGGGGGTCAGTAATCTAGTGTTGGTGAGTGATGGAGCCAGGTTAGGCTCAGGCAAGTGGTGCCAAGCCTGTGCTAACTGTTTTCTCCTACTGCCTGCCTACTCACGCTGCTTGGGCCTAAGCTAGGATTAAGATTCTTACTCCAAGTTTCCTCTCCAATGAAGGCCCATTTCCTTGGGTTCTGCATTAATAAGAGATGTGAGTTAGTACCTGCCTGGGGTTTGGAGAGCAGCAGCCCCTTTGGTACTAGGATGTTCCATTTGATGGTCTCTCTCTCCTTTTTTTTTTTTTTTTGGTCTTTTTGAGATAGGGCCTGGCTATGTAGTATAAGCTGACCTTGAACTCACTCTGTAGCCCAGGCTGGGATTACAGGTGTGCACCACCATGCCCATCTAATCTCACTCATATCTGTGTCATACAATTTTAGCTTTACCAAACCTCTCTTGCTTTCTTTCATTTGTTTTCAGGTCCTGTTTCTTAACATTTTTCTGAACCTTTCGCAGCCCCTGAGCTCTTTGGATATCTCAGTTGTGGATCCTTGTAGAACCAGAATGCCAGGGCTTTCCTAAGTTTCCTCTTGTGCCGGATTGAGGGCCTAGATCTGTGCTGTGCGGAGGACTAAAAGGTGACTTTGCTGAAGGCAGCCTTCAACATTTGAGGTTGCTTTGGATAGGTAGGACCAGGGACCTGGTTATAGAGCAGAAAGACCTTTGGCAGCCTCAGCTGTGTAATGCTGCAAAACCAGCCCAGTCCTAGCTGCAGGGTGCAGAGCTATGAAAGTCGGATTCTGCAAGACCAGGCAGCCCTCCTAATTTTTCTGACTCCATCCATCAGTTGGCTGGGCAGAGAAAAGCATTTCCTAGTTATTTATTTTGGGTACTATTCATAGTTCTGTAATCTTCACATTTTACCTAGCATCAGACTCTTAAAGTAATTTTTTGATAGAGAAAAGCATTTTAGGCTAAGAAAACACTAACTGGAGAAAAGATGGCAACAAGTGAGAGCACCTTGGGGAAAAGTCAAGGAAAGAAACAGGGTTCGGCCAGTGCTAAGGGCGAGGTGGCAGCTGGGAGGCACAGTCCCTTTCTGAACACTTCAGGTTTTTCCATTTTAGCGCTCTCCTCAGACTATGTGTACACACATGCATGCTTTCCTTATAGGAGCGTTTCCAGGTGAAGAATCCTCCCCATACTTACATACAGAAACTCCAGAGCTTCTTGGACCCCAGCGTAACTCGCAAGGTAAAGTATGAGGCAGTGAGGCTGCCTTACAGTCCAGGGGTTTGTGCACAAACCCGCTAGCTTAGGGGTGAGGCATTTGCTTTTAAGCAGTGGGAGTTGGAATTTTTGATTCTGAGGCCAGGGGCTTAGAATGCATGCCAAGAACTGGAGGGAAGGACTATATAATTGTACGCTTGTACCCCTCAGTTTCCTTTTCTGCCCCTTCTGTTTGTACTGTAAGCTGGACAGAGCATGGTGGTGAGGCTTCATTGGTGATAGAAGGTTCTGTGCTTACAGAAGTTCAGGAGGAGAGTGCAGGAGTCAACCAAAGTACTGAGGGAACTGGAGATCTCGCTTCGAACCAACCACATTGGGTGAGTCTGGTTTAGCCTCTTTACCTGGCCCCAGGCATTGCCTGCTGCATGGAATCTGGTGTTCTCTATGGATGATTTGCCTGTTTATCTTCTCTGCCATTGAGCACAGTTGTCCCTTGAATGCCTTCTGGTTCCCGAGAGCTACAGATTGTGACTTTTTGGTTTTCCTTCCCATCAGCTCTGCCAGCTGTGACTGGATGCTTCTGGCAGGCGTGGGGCCTCTCCTGGGATCCCCAGACTGTGTCTTTGAGTGAAAGACATTCTCACAGCAGCTGAGTCTAGAGTCTGCTTGTGGCCTGGTGCTGAGCCAGGAGAGGCCCAGAGAAGGGTGGGAGACGGGGAACATACTACATTGGGTAGGTCTGAGACCTAGTTGCTGTTGAGCAACTATTTGGACTCCGTGATACCAGAAGGTTATTGCTTGTTTGGGAAAATGCAATCTTAGTTCGTGAGGAGAGGAACCTTCCTGAAGCACCAGGAAAAATGTCAGGTGCTAAACATCTTGTGTGGTCACAGATCCTATCCTGGTCCCACCAACTCAATGACAGCACTCCTCCACACACCCCAGGATCTATATGAGTCTTTCCTTCCATTCTCTTAGTGGGGAGTCAGCAATTGCTGAAAACAGGCAGAGGGTGAGGTATAGTAAGAAGACAGTGTCTTAATTGATCAAACTGATCAGCAAGTAAAGTGAAAGACAGAGACAGAGAAAGTGTGTGTACATACATGCAGTGAAGACAGCAAAGGGAGGAACCTTGGTGTACGACTGCAGGCAGGGTTTCCTACCTGGCCAGGGCTTGGCAGGAACATGAGCATCTCTGAGAAGCAGGGCCTGATAGTAGGCAGGGGCGGGATGTTTGCTGGGAAGGTGCCAGCCCCATGCCCTTGAACTTCCTGTAACTAGGGTGGAAAGTGCCAAATGACATCATCAGCCTTTCCTCTCCTGTCATGACAGCAGCCCTCTTGTCCACCCTGCAAGCTGAGCCTACTCTGGCTTCTTTAGAGGGAGGGGACACCTGTGTGTAACCAGCTGCAGCAGCCAGCAGCCGTCACAAGGGAAACAGCACAGGAGCCAACAGGAAAGGATCACAGTTCCTGGTCTTGGAAGCTGTGCTGTGGTGGCCAGAGTATGGCCTCTATATGTCATCTGTGAACCAGTATGGAAAGCCAGGTCTCCGTGGTGAATTCTTTCTCCACCTTGGTGAATTCTTTGCTGGAAGGAGGACTCCTCCATTAGCCTTGCTGTGGAGGCGAGTGACACCAAGGGGAACTCTGAGCACCCCTTGCCACCTTCATTACTCAGAGTGCCTTCCTTCCCTCTCAGGCTGTGCCAGGCTTTAAAAATCCTACAGTCAAAGTGGGGGAGGAGATCTGCTCCGGGGTCCGCTCCTTTTGGCAGAGGGCCACAGCAGTGTGACAGAGTCTCTTCTGCCCTCTTTTCTACCTGGTACCTGCCCCTCTGGCATCTGACCAGTGTAACTAGGGCCTAAGCAGCATAGTTTGCAGGCAGTGGGGCCCCTTGGAAGTTGGCTCTTAAGTTAGAAGTCTGGACCTGGACATCGGTTCCCAGGGAATAGCTTAATACTGGCATTTTAGGAACTCCTGCCCTCTGACCTGAGTCTTCTCAGGGTAGTTATGTGGGAGAGCCAGGATCCTTCCTGGCAGCAAGTTTGTGAGGCTGGCATGTGGTGGGAGGTGGCCAAGGCAAAGTGAGGAGAGGATTGTGCTTTGGTCATAGCCTGACTGGCCCAGGGCCTGCTGAAGGATGCATGTAGGGCTCAAGCTCTAGAATGGGGCCGGCTGGTTAGTAGGATTCCAGAAGCCTTACTACCCCCACCCCCCTTTCCTCTTTTCTCCCCGGTTTTGTATTGGTTTCTCTGCCTTGCCTAAGTGCCCTTTAACCTCTCCTCAAAGTGTCAAGATCCCGAAAATAGCAGTGTAGACTCAGACAGGAAATGAGAAGGGGGTGGGGAGCTGGAGAGCAGACAGACAGGAAATGGGAGGCCTGTAGGCCTCCAGAGAGGAAGCTAACTTCAGGCAGCTCCGGTGTCAGTCAGCTTCAGCCAGAGCCTGCTGCCAAATCTCAGCTGGGCCTGGTGTTCCAGCCCTAGCCTCTCTGTGGAGCTAGGGGTGTGGCTGGCCACACTGGTGTTCCAGCTGTGAGGAAAGGCGGCAGGGCAGGGTGGTTGAGTATGGCTGGCTCATGTGGGACCCCCCCCCCCATCCCAAGGGAATAGAGCACTCGAGCCAGTGGAGGTTTCATCAGGAGATGCGGTGGATGAACCTGTTGCACGACAGTCTCACTGGAATTCATTCTTGATTTTTATTCCAGAGGTATCTCAGTGAAAGGAGTTAAGGCAGAGAATAAAAATAGTCTGGGACATTGTCCTTCAGGGGCCCTGTTGTCTACCTGCTTGTCTCTCTGGCTGAGGTGCCCCATGTCCTTAGCATGACTCAGTCTGGAATTCTGAGTTCCTTGAGCTCCTGATCATTCCACTAGTGTTTTCTGGTTCTGCCAAACTTGCTCTGATTAAACACACAACTCTCACATCCCTTTTTGTTCATTGCTTTCTAAAACTGCTGCCCGGGAGCTCAGTGAAGAGCCCTTTGGCGCGGTAAATTTGAGTCCCCGAGCCTTCTTTGTCCTTCCTGACTATATCTTGACTAACGCTTTAATCACACTGGGGACTTGCTGGCTCTGTAAAGCACATTGCCAGGGTTGGAAGATACCAGATCTGTGGTAAATGCTCCAGATGCTTCTACAAAGTTTCTTCCAGCAAACACTGAGCAAGGACAGTGTGCCTAGCTTTGTACCATACCTTAGGGATACAGACAACAATTGAGCTAGGGCCCTATGCTGTCGGGGGAGAGTACGTGGCTACTTATGTGACTGAAGTGTGTTCACAATAAAGCAAATGTGTTGGAAGGACCTATCCCTAGCTAATCTGCCTGAGGAAAATCCAGGCTGCTGGCTCATGCATTTTGGTCTAAGAATTTTCCTAGTGTTGTAATAGATTCCAGAAGGATTTAGGAGGGAGTATTATTGGGTCAGAGACCCCTCACCCTCCATGAATTTTAGCAGACCCTTCCTCTATGTTCTCTTGTGTTTGCAGGTGGGTGAGGGAGTTTCTAAATGATGAAAACAAAGGCCTGGACGTGCTGGTGGATTATCTGTCCTTTGCTCAGTGTTCTGTCATGTGAGTACCACCCAAGGCTAAAGGAAGGGACTCTGGGGGAGGGTAGAGTCCCATTCTACTCTGAGAGAAAGGTAAAACTCCAGCAAGTGAAGATGGGAACAGGCATCCTAGGACAGGATGAAATATCCCAGGATTGATGTGGAGTGGACAGGAGAGCTGAGGGGTTGTCTGGGGGATCAGTGAAGACTGACCATTTAGTTGGCTGGAGTAGACAGTATGTTTTGGGGAGCAGGAAAAGTGATGCGGAAGTGGAGCTTGGCATCAGAACCCACGGTCCCAGTACTAGGCTAAGGCAAGCAAGCGAAGATAATGCCCAGGACACTAGGAGAGATGCCTTGGGGGGATCCATCCATCTCTGCATAACTGAGTCTTCATGAAGCAACTCTGGATCCCCAGGTGTGAAAGTTTTACTCCAGGTTGTTGTTGAACCTGTAACCTTTGACCTGGCCTGATACAGGAAGGACTTTGCAGCCTTGGGGCAGGCTGGGGCCTTGGAGGCAGCCAGAAGCGAGTTAGCACAGGGAAGGCAAGGCACTGAGAACAAGGGCTTTCAAGCAGACAAAGCTGGGTTTGGGCCTCACTTGTAGCTTGTCCTGACTGTGTAACTTAAAGTATATTTGTCTTCTTATGTAAGAGGAGATCTTCATTCCAGGGTTGTAAGGATTAATTGATAATGTGTGTGACCACTTGGTATCTGGAACATCATAGGTCTGTACTGTGGTAGAAGCTTTATTGCTCCTTTTATTATTCAAGGTGGTATATTTTATCGTAGTTTCCTGAATATGTGGAGAGACAGATGACAATAATAGTAAACAAAGTAGCCCTAGATAAATGAACCCAGGGCTGGGGAGACAGCTCAGCAGAATAAGTGCTTGCCTGGCAAGTACAAGGTCTTGAGTTCAATCCCTGGTACCGAAAAAAACGAAAAAAAAAAAAAAAAAAAAAGATAAATGAACTGTAGGGAGAACATTCATCCCACATGGCTTATGATTTTTCTCAGCACTGAAAGTCCCGTGCACTAGGAAACCCGTCAGTGCTGGACCTTGATCCTCAACTAGATTTTCAGTTTCCTACTGTCTTTACCCCTTTGTCCATTCTCCTTTGTCCAGCAGGTCTTCAGTCTCCTCTCCTTAGGAGCACAAACTGATGCCTGTCATATATTTGCCTGTCACCTTTTCCAAGTGATGCTCTGTTCAAGTCAAGTGTGACCTACTCCCTCTTCCCATCCCTGTAGAAGTCATACCGTGTGATCTTGGGATCCCTTAAAGTATTCTTTTTATAAAAATAAATGAAAAATATTTGCTCAAGTTTTTAAAAAATTCAGAACCTTTATAGTAAAAGGCTGTAAAGTGACTTTTTCTTAATAAGCCTATTTTATTTGAAAAAGCAAACAAATCCAGGCTGCCTTAAACCAAGAATATGCTTCAGCCTGAGTACTAGTGTCCATGGAAGTACACTGTTTGAAGAAGAAACAGAGTGTGTATGTTCTGGGGAGAGATGGGAGGAAAGGGGTAAGACCAAGGACAGTTTGAGACATTTATTGAAAAGACATTTATTTGAAAGCTGTGTGCCCAGTGCTCAGTGCTGCTGTTATGATTGGAAGCCACCAGCAAGCTGTCTCTCTGTGAGACAGAATCCTCTGATGTCTACCAGAGAGCCCCACTAACCACCTCCTGATTGTCAGGGCTCTGATGCCTCCTCCACTTCTTATAAAATATTTGGGCATTGATGATACTGCTTCCTGTTCCAGAAAGCCCTAGTCTCTGTGCCTTTTACCAGGGCCATGCATAGGGAACAGGATGCCCTGTAGAGAGAGGAACTTAGGGAGACGCTTCCTAGGCTTAGTGCCTCATAGGGGCGAAGGACAGGGAGTGAGATTGCGTCTTGGTTTCTGAAGGGGTGACCCCATGCGAGCATGTAGAAAGGGCTCTATGAGTTTGTGATTGTGACTATATCTGCCAAATTGCTAATGGTGGGAGCATGATTCGGGAGCAGGAATTGTTAAACTATCCCCACTGCTATCAGGGATAGACTGCAGGTCTCTAGTCCCCAGACTCAACCTCAGGGATCTCAAGAAAGTAGAAGCCCAAGGAGCCTCTATACCAGGAAAGCCTAGAAAGTAGAAGCACCTCAAGCAGCTAATTGTAGAAAGCCTCATTTTAAAACTCAGTGCTAGGCTGGGCATGATGGTGCACGCTTATTAATCTCAGCATTTGGGAGGCTAAACAAGGAGGATCACTGTGAGTTCAGGGGCAGCCTGGGCTACATAGTGAGACTGTCTGGGAAAAAAAAAAAAAAAAAAAAAAGACCAGAGCAGGAGCTGGGGTAGCTCAGTGATGGATTGCCTGTCCAACGTGCTCAAGTTCCCAGATTGTATCCCCAGAACCAAAAGAAATTCAGTGTTAGCATAAGGTACCCATCCTGAACATAAAAGAGCATTCCACTGTGGGCTTGCTGGAATCCTGTTTCCCTTCCATTCAGCCCAGCTCATCCAGAACAAATGAGGCAATATCAGAATTCTGAGAGGCCCCTTGGCCACTGCTGTTGGCCAACTAGCAAGATCCATAGTTGGTGCATCACCCACTACCTCCTGCTTGGGTCAGATTCTCTCGTGGAACCACAGCATAAGCTGCTCCAACTGAGGCTGGGTGTGTAGGAAGATAGCCTGCACCTACTGCCCATGGGCCATGGGGAGGCCATAGGGAGCAGAAAACTGGCCTCATAGTGTCCCATCTCCTCAGATTCCCCTCTTCCCAGAGCTTCTCGGGCCTCCTCTGGCTCTGCTCTGTGTTGGTGCTCTCCTCACCAGGATTGGGTATCTGCTGTCCAATTCTCTTCTCTTTTCTTGCTGCCCTTGCTTTCTGTTACCCTGGAGGCCTGAAGGGTGGGGGTGGGCTCACCAGAGGGCTTGGCTTGAAACTACTTCTGTGTATGTGCCTTTGTGTGCGCATATGTGTCCTTTCATGCTCCAGGTTTGACTTTGAGGGTCTGGAGAGTGGTGATGACAGTGCATTTGACAAGCTCCGGTCCTGGAGCAGGTCAATCGAGGACCTGCAGCCACCCAGCGCCCTTTCGGCCCCCTTCACCAACAGCCTCGCTCGCTCTGCGCGCCAGTCTGTGCTCCGGTATGTGTGCACTTGCTCTGCCCACCTGCCTCCCACCTCCCCAGCCCCAGCCCAGGTCTTGGTAACCATGGTGAGTGCTCATGCTCCTCCCTCCACTCTTGCTTCCAGGCTCAGCTCTCTTGCCTTCTGCCTGCCAGTCTGTCTCTGGTCTGTCCCCTCTGTCTCCTTGACTCTGCCCAGCAGTCTGTCCTGGGTAAGTATGTGGTCCTTAGCTGTACCACCCCATCTGGGGTTCCTCACTCTCTCAGCCATTCTTTCTCGGCTGCTCAGGCAGGAATTGGGCTTCACTGGCTGAACCAGGTCCTGCCTTCATGTCTGTTTCTCTCTAGCACTTGATCTGCCCATCAGCCGCTCAGAGACCAGCTCCCACCCACCCACTTCCTGCCCCTTCCCTTCCCTTCCCTTCCCTCCTTCCTTCAGCCTTTTTTTCTCTAAGCCTTTGCACTGATTTGTGTTTTCAAGAGCCACCCTGCCTAGAAGCAGACAGATGGACAGGACGATTCTCAGAGCCCTTGTTGCCTCTGGAGGCTGCTCTTTGGGCTCTGCAGCTTTTTCCTCAGCCTCTCTCTCGTGGCTGTGCTCTTCTCCTATTCCTTTGCGTTTTGATCCTCAGACATTGCTTGACATTCTAGTCCTACAGGAGCATACATGCGTCCTCTTTTCTTTCTTTCTTTCTTTTTTTTCCATGAAAGATCATTAAGTTTTTTGAGGGGTGATGCAAAGTCAGTGGTAGCTGCCTGGCTTTCCTAAAGCTTTGGGGAACTGCTCTGCTTTTGGAGATGTAGAAGTGGCATGAGAGCCAAGATGCTTCTGCCCCATGAAATACACAGCCACTAGAAGTGGGAAGAGGGAAAGCTCAGATGACTGTCTCATTTCAAGGGCACATTTCAAGGACAGAAAGGCTTTGAATACTACCATGTGTATTTTGGAGAATCTCTGGGGTTAGCATGATGTGAGCACTGGTTATAACGCTAAGATCCTGGGCATTTGGTGACAGAGGTCTGTCCCAGGGAGGTGAACACAGGCTGACTGCCCTGCCTCCTGTAGTGGCTGTTGGTACAAAAGCCTCGCCCCCACTTTCTGCCACTGCTAAGAGACAGCTACAGCCTGAATGGTGGTGAGCACTCTGACCATGAAGCGGCAGCCTCAGTCCCCACTGACTGCCTGACCCTCTCCCCAGGTACAGCACTCTCCCTGGCCGCAGGGCCCTGAAAAACTCCCGCCTGGTGAGCCAGAAGGATGATGTCCACGTCTGTATCCTTTGTCTCAGAGCCATCATGAACTACCAGGTAGGGGTCTGCACTGGCTCTGGATGCCCTGCCAAGTTGGGAGAACTGTCAGGCACCAGATGTGCAAGATAGGTTCACTGGATAGCGTGTGGTCCAGAAATCTACAGGTTCTCCCTTCGCCACCATCAGAGTCCCCGCCTTTTGTTCTTTTTTCTGCAGTATGGCTTCAACCTAGTTATGTCCCACCCCCATGCTGTCAATGAAATTGCACTTAGCCTCAACAACAAGAACCCAAGGTGAGTCTCCCCTACCCCCACCCTCCTCCAGGGCTTGGGACATCTAGGCTCCATTTGTCCCTGATAAGTCCTTTTTGACCTTGGGGTCCTGTTGCCAGGGTCAGAGCCTTGGTTGGTTCCCTTACCTCTGCCAGAAGGCTGTCCCTGCCTGCGTCTGGTCTGCACAGCAGTGAGGGCACAGGCCTACTTTCATGCCTTCTTTGTAAAGCCCACCCCTGCCCTTCACCACCGAGCCATTCTCCAGAGGACCTTGTCAGCCATGGGCATGAGCTGTGTCATAGCCAGGATGGGAGCTGGGATGCTAATCTTCCTTCTTTACCTCTTAGGACCAAAGCCCTGGTCTTGGAGCTCCTGGCAGCTGTGTGTTTGGTACGGGGAGGTCATGAAATCATCCTTGCTGCCTTTGATAATTTCAAAGAGGTCAGTCTCCTGCCTGCAAGTGTGTTTTTAGCGGGGGAGAAGTCAGGAAGCTCGTAGGTAAACAACATTACCTGTAATCTCCAGTGATTTTAAAGTCCTGCTGGCTTGGCTACACAAGTTGTTCCTTAGAGTAGTGCTAGCACCAATGCGAAACTGGATCTTTAGTCTTAACAGATTTTGTACCAGGAAACCTCTTGATTGGCTAAGAATACTGTAGGGTGCAGTGAATGGTCCTAATCTGGCCATCGTTAGAATCACCTGAGGAACCTGCTGTGCCCCACTGCATACCCACTGGAGCCTGGGCATCTATACTTTCCCAGACTCCACAGGTTGTTCTCCTTCAGTGAATGCATGTGTGGAACCGAGAGCAGGTGTGTTTGCAGGGAAAGGGAAAGAGGTATCTTCCACTGGAGAAAAGTAGCTCTTCTGTGGAATTTCCCAAGCTGCTGGACCTGACTTCGAAACCCCAGTCTGCTTGAACATGGGATTCCTCGACATCCAGCCACAGCTGTGGTTCCACCCCTTCCTTCTCTGTGGACCTCTTCCCTGACATCTATTGTTCAAGCCAGGAAATGGCTCTTCCTCTCTAAAGCCCAGGGACTCAGAGGAGCCTTTGGACCCCTCTCAGCAGAAGGCTTTCCTGCCCACTGGCCTTTCCTTTGTGTCCCCTGGGACCTCAGGCTCCTGCCTCAGCCCTGGCCTGCCTCCTTTTTCTCCTTCCTTCAATAACTTGACAGTCTCAGGCCCTTGTGTTTCTTATTGACCTGGCCTCAGAGGCACCTAAAGCGCAGCCTAAGACTTTGCTGATTTCTTTTGAGTTGGGACCAGATCCCAGGACTACATTCCAGCTCCCATGTTTTTTTTCTGTAGTGTCCAGAATAGGGAGGTGAAGAAGATGTAAAAAGAATTAAGATGCGTGGCCAGACGTGGTAGTGTTATGTCTGTAATCCCAGCACTGGGAAGGCTGAAACAGGAGGATTGCCACAAGGATGAAGCCAGCCTGGGCTACATAGTGAGTTCAAGGCTAGTCTAAACTACGTAGTGAGACCCTGTTCTCACTTGCATACTTCTCTCTTGCTCTCAGTTTCTCTCTCATACACACAAAGACTATATATATATAAGCCATATACCAACTTTCCACGAAGAATGTAATCATTATGTACTGCAAACATTTACTAATGATTTTTTTTTTAAATATAGTATCCAGAATGGCCCATTCCCTAGATAGAGTAGTAGTTAGACTTGGTCTAAACAGATGCCTTTCCTGGGATCCAGTCCTTGGAGAACTTGAGGTACTTGCTCAGGTACCTCCCTTCCCTGAGAAAGTTTGCTCATTCAGGTGTGCAAGGAGCTGCACCGCTTTGAGAAGCTGATGGAGTATTTCCGGAATGAGGACAGCAACATCGACTTCATGGTAAGGAAGTGGGCCTGAGGCACATACCCAGTAAAGCTGTGAGTGCCCTAAGGAGCAGGCCATGCTGACTCTTGTCGTGCTGTGCGGCTTCCTCAGGTGGCCTGCATGCAGTTCATCAACATTGTGGTGCACTCTGTGGAGGACATGAACTTCCGGGTCCATCTGCAGTATGAGTTCACCAAGCTGGGGCTGGAGGAGTTCCTACAGGTACGCTGGCCAGTGACTGTGAGGCAAGGCACTGTGGAAAGAGGATCAACTTATACACATCATAGAGGATGTTCTTTTTGTGAGAGGCTAGACCTAGACACTTTTGAAACTTGCCTGTCTTCTGTGGCCTGGGGCTCAGGTCCATCAATAGAGGTCTCCCCTCTAAGATGGCTCAGAGCTTCTTACAGACCTGAATGACCGATGAGGCCAGTAGGAGGAGGTCCCTGCGTGTTCTAGAAAGTGGTAGTGAAGGGTAACCACAAGTAAGATTTCCCAGGACACTCCCCCCAATCCTTCTGGCACCCCCAATTACTATTCTCTGCTTTTTTCCCAGAAGTCAAGGCACACAGAGAGTGAGAAGCTGCAAGTGCAGATCCAGGCATACCTGGACAATGTGTTTGATGTGGGGGGTTTGTTGGAGGATGCTGAGACCAAGAATGTAGCCCTGGAAAAGGTGGAGGAGCTGGAGGAGCATGTATCTCATGTAGGTGACCTTCGTTACCTGCTGAAGCTGCTGTGGAGGGTTGGGTGGGGACACTTGAGTTACAGAATCTTGAACTGCCCCACTTGCCTTAAGATTGAACCCCAGGAAGGTTTAGGACCCACTGTGCTCTGGCCTGAGCCACTGAATATTTGCCCATTGGACCACACATTGACTTCCAAGGCTGGGCTTGAGGTGACCATAGACTTGGGACAGACTGCTGTCACCTGCCTTGTATCTGTTGCTTTTCACATGGTGTCAGACCCTGGGCCCATGCGAGTGATTTAGGGATGCTACCTGACCAAGGTGCCTTTGAGGCCTTGGAAGTTTGGGCCCAGGTCTCACCATACTTCTGGTTATGCCGAGTGCCCACATTTATTTTTTATTTTTTGGCTTGGGCACGCACCAGCAGAGCCTCCTAAATTTTATTTTTTTTCCATAATTTTATTGATAAATACCTATGAGACAGTTTCAAACCAAATTGGTAGGACAGTTTCAATAATTAACACATTACATACATTCTTCCTAGTGGTTATTTGCTGTACAAGATGTGGACATGATATCCTGTTTACAAACGCTATTAGAACAAATCCCTCTGTTCATTAAGAGAATGTAACTATATATCTTTCCTAACCATTTTGAATACACAGATACAAAATGGACATTCATCTGTA